AGGAGATTACGAAAATTTTGGGTGCTGTCGGTGCCACTCGCCCCCCAGGGTGGGGACCGCGTGATCTCCACTGCGCCTGGTTGGTGATTTGCAAGATGTGCCCGCTAATGGATGCCAGTGACGGCCTGGTTGGTGATTTGCAAGATGTGCCCGTTAATGGATGCCTTCTTGTCACTTTATATCCGGATTGTCTGAATGAAAGTTCAGGGGTGTAGGCACCTCGAGATGACTGTAGTAAGTTAATTCCAAGTCCCCTCCGTGTCCACTTTTCTTCCTTTTTCGCAATGAGGTATCCAAATAAATAATGGTTGTACGGCATTGAAGAGCCTTTGTTGAACACTAATGACGTGACTTCCATTATGCTCACTGGGCTAGGAAGTGACCGAAATGACAATTAGGTGAGACATATGCGGAGAGGCGGGCAAGCCGCGTTGAGGGAATGAATTATGTAGATTCGGGTTAATCGAGCTCTTGTTTACAAAGGCGGGAGTAATGTCACTTCGGCGGTTTATGTTACTTGAATGTGGGTTGATTATTATTTGTCCCTGGACAGTGAGATTTGGTACACCTTGCAGTCCCCAGGAAGATTGTCGGCATTATCAGACAAAAAATAGATTGCGTGAGGTGTAGCTATCTTTATAACTTGTTAGTGATATTGTCTTCTACTAGAAGTAATTTCAGAAGTTGAACAATACTAACGATAACCGGTTATGTATGGTGGCTACCTGAGACACTAGTACGATTGAATAATACACGAAAAGAAAAGAGACTTATCGAGTTCTTCGTCTGATAAGTTATAGCAAATGCAGCCGATGTTTGTAGGACGCAGTTGAGTTGAATGCGTGTCTTGACCCAGCGTGTTGAAATATGGCCTGTTTCTTGTCGTTTAAATTCCAAAACCACATCGTGGCCAGAATTTTCCTGCACAGCGATTCGAGCATGGGTTTGAATTGACTCTGGTCAAGTCTCTGTGTGAAGTGACGAGCTTTAGCATCCTGCTGTCGTCGCTCCGCATATGTATAAGTTTACGTTTTGAGTGAGGATGCGCTTGCATCGTTTGTCTTAGGATAAGATTCCAATGATCTTGGTTAGTCGTGTGGTGAATGTTCATGGCATAATCAAACAAAAGTGAAACAGTGGGTGTGTACGCGTTAAGTAAATTACGTGAGTGGTTGAAGGTAAACATTGGTGAGGTAGTAACCTAACCGTGAAAGCAGTTGAAGACAGAGGTTGACGAGATGGCAACCAAACTCTGTTAAAGCGGTTGAAGCTAAACGTTGAAGAGATGGAAACCAAACACTGGTTGAGGATAAACTTTGACGAAATGGCAACCAACGGGCTGTTCCATTCGAATATTATATGCATGAGTGCAGCAGTGTAGATGGGTTGGAATACTTTGGATGAAAGACTAGTTGGTTGTGCTCAAATTTAATTGAACTAGGCAAAAGAGAGCTCCATAATAGCCTGAATTAGCTAGCAGCCTTCAACACGTGTGCCTGAGAGGTGGAGGCTTTCCAACAGTTGCTGAATATCTAAAAAGTGTCGGTTTAAAAATGCGATTAGTTTAGCCGATCGCTTTTTCAGAAGGGAGCACCTAGTTTGTGAGGCTGTTATTGCGGGTGAGTATGGGATGGCAACAGTTTATGAGGCGGACGATGGATATGCCGATTCTATTATGCTACGTGGTATCAGAAGCAGAAGGGAGGTGAAATTGGCAATTGGTGCTCTGAATGAGTAGATATGACACCAAGTACCCAATCACCAGATATTCACTACCTCTGTGTCCATGGGTGCGCGTTTGAGGATCCATGAAATCCTTGGATTTTTGGACTCAGGCCTACACCGGCTGATCTCATGACTGACCAGTATAACCACTCTCTCTAACTTTGCCGCAACCCACAATGCGCGTGCTAACTGAATACCGGTATCCAATCATCGGTGCACAAAAGTCCCCCTCGTTAACGTCGGTGGGACTAATTGGGTGAGTAATAAACTAACCTTTATAACATTAAGACTCCAGTTCAGCATGGACACCGATCGGGAATTGTGGACAACAGGATTTGTTACGCGTCCGGTGAGACAACCACAACGAATTTGTTTAATAGGGTTTCCGATGACATTACGAAACATGAGCACGAGATGTATTTGAGTATATATTTTTCTTCTCAGAATCCCTGTCGAAAGAAAGCGGCCTCCCAAAAACAAGGACTACATTTACTACACATTACGTTTGTACCGATGCAACCAACAAATAGAAACACAACTCGCCAAAGATGATCGTGCATTTTTCAGGCTTAGGCTTGACAGACGGACGGCATGTATGGAGGTGAAAAACCGCCGTTGGTGGTTAGATTATGCTATCAGGCACAATTGAGACATCATGTTCACCGGCCGGCGTAGATAATGGCCTGGTGTTTACTACGAGCATGCAAAAATAAATGACATCGTGTACACTTATGGGCATGACGGACCGTCGTTTGCCATTGGATTAGACTGGGGTGCAAAGCTGAGGTCTCCAGATCAGCGTCGCACATTGAAATGGGTCCGACAGTTGCAAGAAGTAGCCAAAGTAGACGACAACGCATGCTGTTATCACGATGAACGGCATTGGTTGGTCCTGTTGACCGCCAGTGTAGTTGGGCATGGTTGCGTTTTCTCACTAAAGCGCGCGTTTATTTCCAATGAGAGATACCGTTTTGTCGTCGATTACCAAGGAGCAGTTCCATAACGCCTCACTGTCTACTAACTAGTCGTGCGCGTCAGGGAATGGAGATTACCCACAAAGGTACGTAGTGCGTCAAATTTTCCTTCATCAGTAGGCTGAAAGGTTGGTGGGCTCCCGGAAGAATATTTTTGCAGAATTTCTCTGAACGAATTCATCAGGTTTGCTACTTTTGACGCACTTAAAAGTTAATCTACTTTTTTCTGGGTGAAATCTGCAATGGGTATTCTGTGGATGTTATCTCACTTGTAAAGGAAAATGCGAGATGCTAAAATAAGCTAAACTGTCTATAAAATGCACATTGGTAGCGGTCGATGACCTTGAAATATCGCTCACTTAAACAAATCGCCAAAAGCGCCCTATCACCAAAACGCGCTGACGGATTAGACCAACTCCCCGTAAATGTCGCAACTCCAATACCACATAGCGTCGCCTAAAATTGTTTGAGTGTACTTCTAGTGAGCGGCATTCACATAATCGGTCTCGGCAGAATTTAGCCGGAAGTAGGATATCACTTATGCTCGCTCGCCGCTGTTTCATCCAAGTCGAAGTGCAAGACGGAACGCTTCGATGATACTCCCAAGTGTGCACTTCAGAACTCTAAATGGAAAGGGCCGATGGAACAGATCTTGTAAAGGGTCCTGCTGGCACATCGACTGACACCAAGCTCTAACTCGCCTAACTGAGTACCGCAAGCACAAGCACTGCTTCGATGAAAGATTCGAACTCCACATGATACCATCGGGCCGGGGAAAATGCAATGGAGTCACCGCAACAGTCGATGAAGCTCCAGTTCAACTAGCACCAGCAGTGTGCTCCTTCGACGAGGAGAGTGGCACATAATCGGCCTCCGCAGAATTTAGCCGCAAGTAGGATATCACTTATGCTCGCTCGCCGCTGTTTCATCCAAGTCGAAGTGCAAGACGGAACGCTTCGATGATACTCCCTAAGTGTGCACTTCAGAATTCTAAATGGAAAGGGCCGATGGAAGAGATCTTGTAAAGGGTCCTGCTGGCACATCGACCGACACCAAGCTCTAACTCGCCTAACTGAGTACCGCAAGCACAAGCACTGCTCCGATGAAAGATTCGAACGCCACATGATACCATCGGGTTGGGGAAAATGCAATGGAGTCACCGCAACAGTCGATGAAGCTCCAGTTCAACTGGCACCATCCAGCAGTGTGTTCCTTCGACGAAGGACGGAGAGTGGCGGTTTGTTACTTTAACAGCAGGTACCCTGAGTGGACTCAAGGACATCCTTCGGTAGCGCGGCAAATTGTTTTATGAGGCTAAGGGTGGCCCACTTAGATATACCTGTCAACACAAACCATATCCGGCAGATAATCGTGCATATCCTGCTGACCCGACCGAGTGAGTTGAGTTTAGAGATACTTCTGGGCACAACTGTTCTCGACTCCATCGCTTAAAACCTATCAGCCGCTCCGTTAGAGACCCAGCTCGAGCAATGATTTTGACCGCGACGCTGGACAGACAGGAATCTGTAGCGTGACCACTGCAAGCAAAACTCCCGCCTTCGAAGCTAATTGAGCGAGCTTCAGGGATGGGATTCCGAACAATACCGCTAAACTGCTCGTATTTAGGCGTTTCCATGGGGTATCGTCGCCTCAGAAGAGACCTATTTCTTACTTATGCCCCGTTTGAACGAAGCCTGGCCAAGTAGTTTTTCATCATTGAACCAGCAAAAACGACGGGGACCCGGTAAGAGGATTTTCAAGCTCAGAACGCACATATTCAAAGTGTTTCTCATTTCGGGTAGTAACTACGTGGACTGACCTTCCTCCGACGGTTGTCCACGCTCCTTTAAGAACCCAAGTAGGCACTTTTTTATGCGAACCCTCGCACTAGCAAGCATACTGCCTTGCGCTGAGAAAATAAAGAGCAATGCTACACCCTTTTTTCAGGCACTTGCGCTGAGAAAATAAAGAGCAATGCTATACCCTTTTTTCAGGCGAACGACAGCCGCTGAACGTAAGAACAAAACCGATCCAGGAAATTTGGGCTAAAGCCTCGTTCCTGTGTACCAATCCGTGAATCCGTGCCTGGCTCAAGCTCTGATTGGCCGAAACCATGGAACCAACAGTCAATTGTGATCCGCCGGGTGCCGGTTGCCAATGCCGCATCCGGGAGGCGGCGGAGTTCCTGGTCGGTGTCGCCGCATATATTTTATGTTTGACGCGTTGTACATGCGTTTTAAACATGTTTTTGGGGGCTGATGCTATTACCACAACGTCCTCAAGCTCTGATTGGCCGAAACCATGGAACCAACAGTCAATTGTGATCCGCCGGGTGCCGGTTGCCAATGCCGCATCCGGGAGGCGGCGGAGTTCCTGGTCGGTGTCGCCGCATATATTTTATGTTTGACGCGTTGTACATGCGTTTTAAACATGTTTTTGGGGGCTGATGCTATTACCACAGCATCAGAAACAGTTTATCGTGAGTTTGTCACATACAAATTGGACCTGCATGATAAGTACCCCATTTTCGACTGTATAGTTATACGTAGTCGCTGAATGGTGCTTTAGTTATCACTGATTTGTGTAGACAACACTCCCCTCACATGCATGTAGAGACTGTGTAAGTCGCCGGGGATTATATTCTAAAAAGCGTTAAACCTTACACGAAGACGGAGTGCGACTGGAACAAACACCTAAAAACGCTTTTGCAGTGCATATAAACCAATTCAGAGTTATATTTATTATTAAAATCCTTCGTAGCCTTTAGTGAACTCCTCATAAGTCACAAAATGAACCGAGAAGTTGTGGTAATAGTGATATTCGCTTTTGGGCGCTACTACACGTTGTGCACCTTTAGCGGTTGCTTTGTTGGGAATGGTACTTTGGGAGTACCAAGGTACCCAACAACGCTTCAAAAAAGCGTCACACCGTACGCAAAGACGGAGAGCGACTGGAACAAACACTTAAAAACGCTGTTACAGCGCAAATAAACCAAATTAAGTTTTTTTATTATTAAAATCCTACGGAGTCTTCAATAAACTCCTCATAAGTCACAAAAATGAAAAGTCGAAAAGTTATGGTAATAGTGATATGGGGGAATGTCCTTAACATAATCCAACGCGATGTATTCTCAAACGTCAAGCAAAAGTGAGCGTGCGCACCGACCTTGAAGCCTGATGAAGACTTAAAGCCAGTGAAATGGCAGGGACCCAGAAACTTGGGAATGGGGATGATTTAATCTGGTTTGGTTCCCGGAAACCTGTGAGCAAATCAATTAAGGGTCAGATTGATTCTGCAATCCTCAGTTAAGAAAGATAATTCGACCGCAGGGCCAAGCACTCTTGACAACAGTTCTCGTGGCCACCTGCTGCCACGCAGTTAGGCCCTCGAACCGGAATAGAGCTTTGGATAGTTACCCTTACACCTATGGTTTCGGAGGTTCATGACTGCATATGATCTTTCACATGTTGTTTCATGTCAGCGAGCTCCTGGTCCTGATAGCGTTACGCTTCCATTGTACATGGAAAAGGGTGAGGCTTTCAGTCGCTTGTCTACGCCGTTTGCATGCATCTGGGAGATGGAGACAACTGGGTAGAGGCGGTGATAATGTTCATATTGAAAAAGGAGTACCTATTGAGTGCGATAACCACGGGGAGATCCGCTCGACTCTACTAGTAACGAGACAGTTAGCACCAATTTTCCTTTGTTGCCTTATGCTTGTTCGTGTAATAATGACTTCAGGACTTCAACATGGATTCTGGTCTGTTGGGGTATGCGTTGACCAAGTCTACACATTCCACCAGGTGCTAGAACAATGCCACTCGCATAAAAGACCCATAATATTATTACTGAATTTCCAAAACGCATTCCACTCATTTGACAGGTTTGTTCTCTTGGACAAGCCTGCTCAGCAACTAATCTCCGGATGTTTCGGAGTATTATAAGCTCCTTGTATTCTTGGGCGTCTGAGCGTGTGAGGGTATATTGAGAGCTCCAGAAGTTCCTGTACACAAAGTGCTTTCCGTCAAGGATGTCTAATCTGCATTACTACTAACCTTTGTGATCGATGAGGTAATGAGACGAATGCTGGCTTTTCAGAATTCTGGTGTTCACATAGCTGTCGTTAAAAACCTTATCGATCAGGAAAATCTAGGTGACTTCGTTCACGTCTTCGATGAGAAAAGGCTCCTGTTCTTGGATGAACTTACCAAAGTCATTCCGTCCTTCGGCATACACTTTTCACCCACAAAGTATAAGGTCTCGCTTTCGGACATGCCGTCACCAAATACGCCATGTATAATCCAGTGAGGAGTACTCAACCTTGTAGCATTTTACGCATCTCGGCAGTTGTATCAGTTTAGGTTGCTAATTTGCGACACCTATGCAGGCAAACGGGCACATTCTCACACGTGAATGTCGGGCTTAAGTGCAGGCTTTCTTGTTGTATGGCTGTGAGACGTCGCCTGTTCAAAAGGGCGAAAATGTGGCTCCTTCGGGTCTTTGACATAGCTCGTGTAGTCTGTTGATGGAGAATCATAAACGAACTGATCAGAGGACTAATGTTCAGTTGTGCAACGAGGGTTTCCATTGCCGAATGTGTTCAGCGACGAAAGTTGCACCAAAGATTTTCGCATTGCGAATCTTTGTTTGTCCAAAGAGTGGTGCAAGCGGAGATGTGATGAGAGATGGCTCACTGGTTAGAGCGCGAATTTACCGACCGGAAGGTCCGTGATTAAACCTGACCTGTGCCCGTCGGCTCCTCCTGTCTAGGCTCGGGCAACTTGGCAGTATCCCATCGTTCGTTCTTCCTTTGGGTGGCATGGCAGCTAGGCGCCGAAGGGGTGTTGCAGATGGACGACTATGGTATGCTTAACCTTTGTCCTCCCCCGCCCCAACTTTTTCTCTATAAGCTTTATTCAAATAAACCGACGTGGTCGTACGGCGGTAATGTACCAGTGGTCATCTGGTGTTGACGTCAGTGATGATGAAGCTGATTTATCGTGGCGGAGAGAAGAGATGTCGGAACTGTTTGAATCCATGATTCATTGTGGAAGTGAGGTTCTACGGTTCTCTTGAAGCCTCCTGTTAATATATTGGCACTTGTGTTAGTCCTGATAGGCTGTCGAGGTATGGAGGTCCATGCCACTAAACTCAGTCATTTTGGTAACTGTTGTTTCTTTGGCGACGCAAGATGGTGGCAGAACAACTCAAAGTAATGTTTGAGCAACAACTGCAACTCATCAAAGTACTTATGGAGCGACTATCAACTACATCTTTGGCTTCACCGGCTGCGTCGAGCGTCCCACAGTCGGTTGATGGAATCGCTGGCAGTATCAACGA